GAAACCTCCCCCAAACACCCAGAACACCCCCTGAAACCACTAGCAGAACCCCCCCAAGACACCCCAGTGTTATGAGCTGTGTTAGGACTGGAACTGGGGACGTTACATATGTAGAGAGCCTGTTACGTACATGTCACGAACTTCGAACTTGGAGTTCGTTCGAGATCCGAACCTTGTACATTCCTCCTCTTGCAATCTACCATCAAGAACCAGAACCCTGAAGATCCTCACCTGCTCTCCCCAGAACACCCCCAACATATTGCAAGATCAACTCACACGGAGACCAGGACAGAAACACCCAGAACCCCAATCCTCAAACCTTGAAAATCAACCTTGAAAAACTCACTCCTCAACCTTGAAAATCTCTGAAAATCCTCCCCCCAAACCTTATCTATACCTCTCAACCTTAAAACTCACCCCTGTACCTCTCTGTTTACCCTCACAGACCTCACAGGACCCCCCAGGCCCCCCAGGAGGTCGTTTATTGGCGCTTTGCACCGGATCGCGCCGGATCACTGTTTTTTTCGTTTGGATCGTCGTCAGGCCCTCAGAACGTGCCCAGGACCCTCGGATCTCGCTTGGAACGTCCGGATCTCGCTCGGAACGGCCCTCAAGACCCCCAAGACCCCTCTTAACGCACGGATCGTCTGGATCCCTCGCGGAACGCTCGGAACGCTCCCCGGGCACCGCCGACCCCTAAACCCCCCCCAAACCGTCGGATCGTCACCTGACAACCCGACTTCAATCGGATCGCCGTCCGAAGCCTCAGGAGGACCCCCTCCGTCCTTGAACGCCCCCTGAAGGCTCCAGAGGCCCTCCGTACGCCCCGAAGCCTCCGCAGCGTCTTAGGACGCCCCAGGGCCCCTCCCAGCCCTCACCGACACCCCTAGCGCGCCTTAGAAGCGCCCCAGAGCCCCAGGCGACCCCACCGAACGCCCCAGGGCCATCCAGAAGACCCCTGAGCACCCTCAGCGCGCCCCAGAGCCCCCAGGCAACCTGACAGAACGCCCCAGGGCCATCCAGAAGACCCCAGAGCGCAAGGAGTGGACCCCCCACGACCCTTAAGACATCAAGACAGACCCCAGAACCCCCACACACCTCTGTAAGAGCCCCAGACCCCTGTGAGGAGCCCAGAACACCCCTTCCAATCCCGAAGGCGGACACCCAGACACCTAGAACCCCGTGAG